TCAAAAGTTGAAAAACCCGTGGAAGAGTCTATTGAGCAGAAATTGCTAAATGATCTTCCGAGAAAAAAAGGAAAAATAAAGGAATACCTCCTTTATCGTGCCATAAAGTGGATTAATCTTAATTTTCTTACTTGACAGGATTACTATAAATTTCCTACTTGTGAATTTGGCAGTGGGGGACATTACCTACGCGACTTTTAACATACCACTGTTAGTTATCAGCCACATCAACGGACATCCGGAAGGAGTGGCGGGGAGAGTTTTATGCATCTTCAGAAATGGACTCCTGGCCTGGATTGGGGAAGGTGCTTCGGTCTTCACCCTTGTTGCCATCGCAACGGAACGTTACTATGCCGTCGTATATCCTCTTGGTAACAAAGGAAAGCTAACAATACGCAAGCTAAAGGTAACCTTTACTGGACGCACTGCAGTGTTGACCCCCAATCCAATATTTTCGAATTCTCGCACATTTTTTAAATCCCCCACGAATTTTCACTCATTTAAACATTCGAAAAATCATCTAAAAATTCTCAAACAATTGTTGAACTGAGGACTTTGACCTAATAGCGATCCAGACGCTGACGTTACCTATTGATGTTACTTTACCGAGAAGAAATTATTTTGGTTCCCTCACTGGACCAATCTTAGCGCGCTTGAAGATTCAATAGATAATTTGTGTTCCAGCTTTAAAGGCTAAGAAAATAAACGGTTAATTTTCTTTAGCTGCGGTGTAGATGTTACAGGTCAAATTTAATTCAGGTTAATTTTTTTTAACCTAGGTTGATTCTTTAATTCTCCTAGCCCTAATTTTTGAATAATTAGGGCCAGGAGAAGTAAGGAAATAGATAATCAACTTAGGTTAAAAATTTTTAACCTGAATGTAAATTTTGACCTGTAACACAGATTTAAAAAAGAGCAACTATCAGGCAAAGATTGAACGTGTGGAAGGAACGTTTCTTTTTTTGTAAATTTTTTTTACTGGTCAAAGACAGAATGGATAAGTTACTGCCGTTCCACTAAGAGGCAAGGAGGTTCCAGAGGGGGTAGACATCCTTGTATTCTTCAAACAGATGCTCTAAGGTCTGCATCAATCCAAACACATGACAAGAGTCACTGTCAGTAATTTTGGCCTTGGAAAGTTTGCCGTGTGTGTACAGGATGTGATGGTTGATTTTGTTGTGGTTGGTTTATGTTTGTTGTGCATGGTACAGATATTGTTGAGTTTCTTTTCAAAGTCGTAATTATAGCAATGACATCATAAGCAATACCAAGAAGCAGCCCTTCTTTTCTTTCATTTGGAATTTCTCAGAATAACTGCACTTACCAAAACCTCACCTCGTATTTTGTTTTCCAGCTAATAATTCCTGGTTCATGGATCCTCGCAGTGATTATTAATATTCCAGAATTTATCAAGCAAGACTTTGTGGAGGAACAAAATCCCAACTATTGTATTTACGATTACGACTGGCCACAAAAATGGATGGAAAAAGCCTTTCTATTGGCAGGAATTTGCATTCCTATGCTTTGCTTTACCCTGATGATGGGGTTGTATTCAAGAGTCATATACACTATGTGTTTCAAGCGTGATGATCATACAAAACACACATGCCAACAACAGGTATGACTTCATTGCGCAATAAATGTTTTTGTGGAAGTACCGAGAAAAAAACTTGCAATCAAGTAGAGACAGTCTTTTATTTAGGGGTCGTGTTGTCTGAAAGACTGCCCGAGAATGTGAGATTATTTATACATTCAAAAGAGTTCTTAAAACACCTACCAACAAAGCAGCACTTAAGAAGGTTCATCTTTACTTTTAGTCTTAGCTTTTGCATTAAGTCTTAATTGCCTGCTTGTAATTTTAAACTTTACCTTCTTATGCTTGTATATAGTTGTATTTCGTTATAGTTGTTTATAAAATAACTAAGATAGTACGCGCGCTCTGATTGGCCGAGAGCAGTGTTTGCATGAGAGTATGTAAACATGGTTGTGGCGTCAAGTTGTTTGGCTTTTCGCGCGCTAATCACGCAAGCACCAAATTTGAAAAAGTTTTCGAGTTCAAAACTCGACAAGTTTACTTTATTTACCCATTTCTTCGTCGGCTGAAACATGGAAAATCGTTACAAAGAAGGTGAGTCAATTTTTCTTCGCTTAAGCTGACATTTTAAGCGAGAAAACTCCGTATTTTGCAAAGCATCTTTTTGCAAAACAAGAACTCATTACGCGTGCAAGACTTCGTGGACAAGATTTTGCGACTGGTAAGAATTTCTCTTTTAATCA